AAAATTTGTCAGAATGTGCACTTTCATTCATTGGATTCCGTGCGGCTCGGCGGGGCTGCCCGCGGCGCCCCCAAGCTGGAAGGGCGCGCTCGCTCGCGTCCTCGGGGCGCCCTGCACTCGGGCGGCCTCCACCCCGGGGGCAGAGTTTCCGGCTCCAGGTTCGCGAGTCGCCCTGAGGTCTGAGGCCAGACAAGCTCCCAGTCGCGCCAGGGAGGGCGGGGGAGAGGCCAGCCGCTGCGGCCCTTTAATTGTACTTCGGGCCGGTATTGTCTCTCCTTTTCGCCACCTCCGCTTCCTCAGTCTGAGCTCCAAAGTCACTGCAAATTTCCGTGCGACACACACATCACACAAAAGATCAGGTAACGGCGCGCTCAGGGCCACGGGGGGCTCTGCAGCCCCAGCTCTGGGACGGCCCCCTCCGGCCACTCCCCGGGCTACAAACCAGAGCGCCGTTGGGGGAGCCGGAAATAGCCCCGTTTGCTGCGGAGCTGCCGGCAGGGCGGGGGCGCCGGCGGAACACAGGCTCGCAGGCCGTGGCGTTGAGAGGGCCACGTTCACCGGCCCTCGGGCCTTTGCTCCCGCTGGGCTCGCGGGGAGCCCTGGCTCCCGGCGTGCGGGGATCCCGGATACCCACCTGGGGGTGGGGGCCGGCCGCGCGGGATTCCTTGCTGCAGGCCGGGAGGACTCCGTGTCTCGGCTTCCAGAGCAGGCCTGAGCTGGGAGTTGTCAGTGTGTGTGTGTGTGTGTGTGTGTGTGTGTGTGTGTGTGTGTTCCCCCCAACAAAGAGGAAATCTGGAGGGAAATGGGGGGAAAATAGAGGGGAACCGGGAAGGGGGCGAGGAGGGGGGAGAGGGCAGCTGGGAGGTGGAGTGAGCCCATTTCATGGGGAGAAGGAAAATGAAAGCGAATGGAGTGCGGCCTCCTCCTCTTCCTCCCGGGCGCTGGGCGGGTGCTCAGGCACCCGGGAGCCGGCTCCCTGCCTGTAGGGTCGGGGGAGTGGGATGTGCAGGCGGATGAAGGGGTGGATGGGTGGGTAGGGGGGAACATCGGGGAAAGGAAAACCTGTTTTGAATTTAATCCGAACTTGACGGTGTGGATTGAGCCTAAGGGAATTTAAATCACTTTAAAAAGGGGGTGGGGGAGGCGCGTCGCAGGGGAGAGGGGACCACTGGAACCTGTCTATCCTCCCGGTGGCTGCTGGCTGGATGGAGGTGATGGAGCCAGAGTTGCCCCTCCCCCCTGGAGTAAGTGGGTGGGGTGGGGGAGCCTTCCTGGGCCTGGTGAACTCTGTTGGGGTTGGGAGAGGAACTCGCAAATCCAGCAGCCAGGCTGTGGCAGAGTTGAAGTTGGAGTGCCCCCCCTCCTAGCAGGGACTCCCAGCCACCTTAGTCCCTTGGGTTCCAACCCCCCATCCCCAGTCTTGCTAGGGAAAATAGGAGGGAGGGGGTGACAGGGAGACTGGAAATACAGCTGGAGAGCCATCAGCCTTAGTAATTGGGTTCCAGCAGAGGAGACCCTCTTTCTCAGTACCCCCCAACACGCGCGCACACACACACACACACACACACACGCCTGGATTGGGGAGAAACCGGAAAGCCTGCCTCATCGCACGGACCTGCCGTGCTGGCCTCCAGATGTACAGAATGGGGACTGCAATCCACATGCACTTGTGCTATCTATGGGAGGGAGGGACCACGGCCTAGTGGCCTCCCAGCCCTTCCAGGGCCTCCTCCCCTAGGCCACCTCTCAGCCGGTTCTAGGGAAACTGGGGCATTGGGCCCAGGCCTGCTTCTGGAACCACCTTAGTGCCTGTGCCAGAGAGGAGAGGGTTGGTCTGGAAGGTGACAGTATCCGTGTTGGCTGCAGGGGGTGGGGGTGAGGGTGGTGAGAGGGGGGTAAGAGATTGGATGGCAACAGGGATGCCGGTTGCCCGCCTGCCACAGCAAGGGCAGGCAGGGTGCAAAGGCAGGGAAAGCAGGCAGTGTTGGGGGAGGGTAGGAGAGAAGGGGGCAGCTCGGCAGCAAAGTCCTCACCCCCCCCCCCCAGCTAAGGAGCCTTAAGGACTCTCAGGTCTAGGAAAGCTAAGGGTGGGGCACACAGATCCTGCAGCTGGCGAAGTCGCAGAGGAGGAGCCCCGGAAGGGATCTATCTCTCCCCTTGTGTTTCTTCGCCCCTGGACTAGATCCCTGTGGCTCAGCCCCCCCAGCCGCCTGCGCCTCGGCTGCTGGGCCCAGCGTGGGGATTCTGGACCCCAAAGGCCTCCTGTGCCCACAGCAGACCGAGCAGGTCTCTCGGCAGGGGCAGGAGAGGAGGCCTCTTCCTCCTTTGTGTCCATACAGAAGTGGCCGCTCTGCTTGCCTGCTTGCCCGCCCGCCCGCCCGGAGGAGCTGGTTCCGCGGTAGAGGCCCGGCAAGCCAGCGGGCTGCACAATGCCACGGCTGCCGGGTCCTGCCTGTGGCTGGCTGGCCTTCCTCCGCCTCGCCTCGCTCTCTGTTCTCGCCTTCATCTTCCTGCTCTCCCATCTCGCCTGTCTTCTTTTCTTCCATTCTCCCACTTTGCTCTTTTCGTATCATTCCGTCTCATTCTTTCATTCCTTCCAGCCTGGCGCCGTGTTCGCTGCCTCTGTCTGGGGCTGTCTCAGGGTAGGCTCTTGTCCCCTGGTGTCCTCTTGGTCGCAGTCTGGCCCCAGGCCCCGCTGAAGGCTAAATGTCCTCGCTCCATCGCTGCCAGCAGCCGCTGAGTCCCCAGCCAGCCGGAGCTGGGGGAGGTGCTGGCCGCTGTACTGGGGGGGGTGGGGGAGTTGGAAAAAAAGGCTTGGCAGAGAGGTAGGAACCTCTTGTCTTTTCCTTGAACTAGTGAAGGAGATTTTTGATTGACAGTTCACCGGACTCCATCAAGGCCAAAGGGATATTCCGTTTCTTGCTACAATTTGCATTTTCCCACATCAGTCCGGGCCAAGGGAGGGAAGAACAGAGCCCTTGGATGAGGGGGATGGAGGCTGAGGTTCGGTATGGTCCCCCTCCCTTTGCCTCCCCCCCTCCAGCCAGACACTTCCCTTGCACCCCCACCCCTACCACGGATGCGCATCCAAATCCCAGCCCCGCTAGACCGAAAAGGGACGAAGCAGAGAGGGGGAGGAGCAGGAATTGGGGAGGGGGCCAGTGGCAGAGCTGGGATCCCCGCTTTAGGCAGCTACTGTACCCTCCCCTCAATTTACCAGCTTCCCCCTCCTCAACCTCTAGCCTAATTTCCAACCTAGAGGAGACAGCTCCACAAAGATGGGGGGGGGGGGTCGGAGAGGGTGGAGGGAGAAACAGCCCCTGGCCCAAGCCCTGGCGTTTGGTCCTCTCCAAGGGATTGGCAGAGGGATGGCAGGGCCCAGGGCTGGGACTGGGAAGCCTCCTTCCCGGCTTCCCCCCGAGGCTGCATCCCCACCCTAGTTCCTGTGTTTCCCTTAGTACCGTTTGACATTAGCCTTCTGACTCCAAAGCTGCACCACCACCACCCCCTTTCAAACTTCTGCCCTGTCTGGGTGCACCAGGTCTGTGGGGGAACAGCACCTGCCCCAGTCCTCTCCCCTTCCCCAGCCAACAACCCTGCACCCACACTGGACATTTCCTGCTTGCCTAAAGCCCATCCCTACCCCACTTCATGAAGCTACCATGGGACAGTGTTTTAGAAAGCAGAAGACTGGGCAAAGAACCCCAAATTCCAGGGGCAAGTGCAGCCACGTAACTTATGGGGGGCACCGGCCAAGTTGTCCGATACACCCCTTCAGTCACACTAGACCTCCAGAATTCTTGCCTGCAATACCCCCCTCCAAGAAAACCTGCTTCCTCCCCATGCCTCCACTGCTTTTTTCCCGTTCCAAAAACAGCCTACAATTTTATTTAATGAAAGACACATTTATGAACAATCAAATGATCCTCATAAAAATTTTATTGAAGGACGTAAAAATAAGCTACTTGCCCACGACCGAGGTCGCTCCCTCGCTCTGCCCGTTCTCACCCTGGCTGTCTGCGGGCAGAACCCCCGGGGAGTGACTTCTCTTTGGGGGGCTCTGAGGGGGTGGCAGAGTGTCTCCGCAGTGCTGGAACTGGGGGCAAAGGAGAGGGAGCAGCAGCAGGCCGGAGTGGGGATGCCCCCAGTGAAGTTCTGTCCATCACACTCTCTCCTCCACTTCTTCAAGCTGGCAAAGAAACATAAATAGATACAGACAATAAATTTAAAATAAAGGCGCTTGTGTTATCTTGTGCCAGAGCCAGGAGAAGACTCCCGAAGCGGATGGGAAGAGCCCGAAGTTCTACCCCTCCCACCGCTGGAGCACCTTTCGCCCCAGCAGCTTGCCCTAGCCCCAGACTTGGGGGGCTTGAGTTGGCCAGTGCCAGGAGGACGGTCCCCTGTCCCTCCTTCCCTCCCCTCCACCCCAGCTTTTCTCCAATCCCCTCCCACCCGCCCTCCCTCACCGCGGCCGCCTCCGCTCCTGGAAGAAATACATACATGCACACTATTTAAAAACGCATTTTTAAAAAGCCACGTTCCGAACTGACAATCGCCCGGCTCGGCTCGCGCAGAGGCTGCGGGCGCGTCCGGGCCGACAGAGACGGATTACGTCAAGAAATAGTTCCTCCACCTACCTCGGGCCGGCTCCCCGCCCCTGCGGGGGGCTCCCCCGCGCCCCGGCCTGGGTCCCCGGGGCTGAGCTGGGGGTGCTGTGCAACCCCGGCCTCCTCCTGCTGCTCCTGCTCCTCCTCCTCGGGCACGGGATCATTTCACCCCATCTCTCCCCGCCCCCTCCCCAAATCCTCACGCTCTCAGGGCCGGGTGTGTGCGTCTTAGGGTGGGGGGGAGTGGGAGGCCATCTGCTTATGCGTGGACAGACGTGGGCAAGGGGGAATCCTGTTGGCGAGCTCGGAGCCGTCCTGCAAAGGGGTGGCCGGTGGCTGGGGTCCAGAGTCCGCGGACCCCCGGGCGGGGGGTGCTGGGGGGTGGGGTGAGAGACGCAGGTCGCGGGGATCAGGGGAGAGGAGGGGGCAGGATGGCGGGGGGGTGGGGGCAGAAAAAGCAAAGGGGAAAAAAAAGCCCCTGCGCATTGATCCGCGCCGTATTTTTGGGTAAATACGATCACGTGGGGGCCGGGGAGCCAATGAGCAGCGGGGAAAAGGCTGGAAAAATAATTACCTGCCTTGATTGTTCTGTGAGCAGATAAAAAGTACATATACAGTTCATACAATAATCTTATGTATGTAAAACCCCGTTACGATGTCGGCGACGGGGCCCATCAGTAACTATTACGTGGACTCGCTCATCTCGCACGACAATGAAGACCTCTTAGCGTCCAGGTTTCCGGCCACGGGGGCTCACCCCGCCGCCGCCAGACCCAGCGGGCTGGTGCCGGACTGTAGCGATTTTCCGTCCTGTAGCTTCGCGCCCAAGCCGGCCGTGTTCAGCACGTCGTGGGCGCCCGTGCCCTCGCAGTCGTCCGTGGTCTATCACCCCTACGGCCCCCAGCCCCACCTCGGCGCCGACACGCGCTACATGCGGACTTGGCTCGAGCCGCTGTCCGGCGCCGTCTCCTTCCCCAGCTTCCCGGCCGGGGGCCGCCACTACGCCCTCAAACCGGACGCCTACCCCGGGCGCCGCGCCGACTGCGGCCCGGGCGACGGCCGCAGCTACCCGGACTACATGTACGGCTCGCCCGGGGAGCTGCGCGACCGCGCCCCGCAGACGCTGCCCTCGCCCGAGGCGGACGCCCTCGGCGGCAGCAAGCACAAAGAAGAGAAGGCCGACCTGGACCCCAGTAAGTTGGGAGCAATTTTCCTTTACAACCCGCGCGGGAGGGGAGGGGAGGACGGGGCGGGCAGGGGTGTGTGTGTGGTGGGGGGAAGCCGGGATTACAGCCCCCCTGGCCGCGGCGGCGGCGGCAGGCGGTGGTGCTGGCGGTGCTGGCGGCGGCAGCCGGGCGCGCGGGGAGCGCGGGAGAGGGGCGAGGGCGAAGGGGGGCGGCGAGGACTCAATAAAAGCGAATTACCTTGGGGAGCTTGGGCAGGGGCAGGAAGGTCTGAGGAGGGGGGCCCCAGGGAGCCAGATTGTTGGGTGGGAGAGGACGGGGGGGGGGGACCTCTTTGCCAGGAACTGACTTGGAGGAGGGGGTCCCCCTGTTCTCCCACCCCACATTCCCCAGGCCAGGCGTTTGGGGCTCAATTCAGCACTTGCAAAGAAATCCAAGACATGCCTGGGGGACAGTAGGGAGGCCAGGGGATTTGGGGTGGGGAGGAAGCAGGAGCAGGCTTTGAGATGGGATGGGGGTGCCAAGGGTGTATGAGCAGAGAGGCAGCACCCCAGGGAGGAAAGCCACCCCCCTACCTGCCTGTCAACGTGGAGGGAGAGTCCCAGAATAGGAAACCACTGTGGGGAGCTTGGGACATTTCCCACGCTGGGAACTTGGGAGAGCGCAGGACTTGGAGAGAAGAGTGGGGTGGTCCTAGCCTGCTTCAACTGGAGAACCCTCTCCTGAGGGTCTCCAGGGTGTGTGTGAGAGGGTCAGGGGTGAGGAGTTTAGGGATGCAAGTCCCAGACTTGGGAAGCAGCACTCAACTCCAGCCAGGGACAGTGGGACTCCTAGAGGGGGGCTTGGATGGGGACTGTGGGAGGCAGGTGGGAACTGCAGGGTCAGAGAAAGACGGAAGGAGGAACAGCAGGGGAGGGTGCAGCCCCTAGGGTGTGAGGAAGTGTCTGGGGCAAGGGGGGGTTCCAGAAACAGGCTTCCTCCAGCCCCTAAAGGGGCCAGGGCCTAATTCTACACCTCCTAGGGCCCCTTGCTTCCCTACTCTCAGCTGCTTCCGTCAACCTGAAATCGGAAGCTTGACTCCAACAGAGCCTGGCCTGGGGTTGGCAGAAAAGGGGCCCCTGGAGGTCAACGGGAGAGCTGAGATCTGGGGGTGCCTGTCCCCATTCCTCTCCCCTCCCCCCGTCCGGGGCCAGCCAGCAGCTCTCTGGGGAAGTGGAGAAAAAGCCTGGGCTGTGGCAAGATCTTCGTGAGAATTCGCCTCAGCAGGGTTGCACACACAGGGAGCTGAGAGCGGAGCTGGAGCTGGTGCAGGAGAGGGGACTGGGGGCTCTCAGGGTCAGGGAGCACAAGTGCTGAAATTTCAGGACTGTGGGCTGTGAGGAGGGGAGGGGGCAGGGGAGGAGGGAGGTGGGGAGGAGGGAGACCTCGCTATAAAAATAAAAAACAAGAGAGAGAAGCGTTTATGGGCCTATGAAATGGTTGGGAATTTGGACTTTTTATGAGGATATTCTCGAATTACTACTCTGGAAGCGGAGGACCAGACTGGAGTAGGGGCTTTGATAGCTTTGGATTTCCTACAGCTTTAGGTGCTGGAAAATGCAGGGGGGCGGGGAGGAAGAGTAGTGGGGTGGTTTGCAGAAAGCAGGAGGACTTGGGGGGGGGCGGTGGATGCCTACAGCAAAACGTGTTCCAAATTCAGGTTCAATTCTTGGGTTTAGGAAGCCTGGCTAAAAGCCGGGGGTGGCGTGGTCGGTCGGGGTGGTGGGTTGCTGAGGGGCTCTGTTGACCCCTGTTGTGTGTGTGTGTTTGGCCCCTTCAGGCAACCCCGTGGCCAACTGGATCCACGCCCGCTCCACGAGAAAGAAGCGCTGCCCCTACACCAAGTATCAGACGCTGGAACTGGAGAAAGAATTTCTCTTCAATATGTATTTAACCAGGGACCGTAGGTACGAGGTGGCCCGAGTTCTCAATCTCACCGAGCGGCAGGTCAAAATCTGGTTTCAGAACCGGAGGATGAAGATGAAAAAGATGAATAAAGAGAAAACCGACAAGGAGCAATCCTAAAACCCTGTCCCCCAGCCTGCTGCCTGGGCACAGCCAAGGAAAAACAAAACAAAACAAACAACAATAACAACAACAACAAAAAAAAGCCAACACAAAAAATTATACCCCAGTCCCGATGGGAGAAAGCACGAGAAAAAGCAAAGAGCAAGCTAGAGAAAAAAAGCAAATCAGCTTAAAAAGGGGAAAAAAAAAAAAAGATGAAGGGGAAAAGGAGCTACTTTGGCGATTGGGGAGGGTTCAGTGTTGAGAAAGTGTTTTAGAGTTAGTTCTGCGCAGTCAGGAGGAGGTGGGGAGAGACCCTTCTTCCCCCCCAGCGCAAGTGAAATAAACAACACACACAAATGTGATTTTTTTTCTCCTTTCTTCAGAAGAAGCCAGTACTTGAATCAGTCTATTTCTATTTTGGCCCCCTGTATTGTATGTGGTCCGGGCCATCCCTTCCCTGGCCTTGGACGCGCTGCGGTGCAGATTTTGTACAAAAAGACAACCCCCCCCCCTCAACACACAGACACACCGACACAGACACACGCTTCGCGGCAGGCCCAGGAGCTGCGGGGCGAGCGGGCGGGCGAGCGAGCGAGCGAGCGAGGAGGAGGGCCCGGGTCGGGCGGCGGCAGTGGTGGCGGCGGCGGTGGCGCGCAGGCCGGCGCCTCGGGCGTGTACATAGCAGCTTCCTCTCCCCGCCAGCGTCCGTCCGTCCCTCCCCAGCGTCCATCCTGTAATGTGCTTCTGTTTGTTATGGTCAGATCGGCTCTGTGTTAATATATCGAAGTCACGTTAAAAAAAAAAAAAAAACAGAAACCCAACCGCATCCAGTTCTCCTTATTTCTCCTCCCTGTGGGCGCTCAGGCCGCTGCTATCATGGAGGAGCGAGGGCTTGGGTCCGCCAGGGGAGGCTTGGAGCTGGAGGAGGACGCGCCCCGGAACCCGTGTTTCTTGGCAGGCAGGGTGCCCGGGGAGGGGATGGCCGGTGGAGGGGAGGGCAAGGGGGCATCGAGGGCTTGCACTTGCAGTGGTCGGGTGTGCCTACTGGTTTCCTGATGGCTGGATGCAGGGGGAGGGGGGAGAGGCTTGGCATGAGTGGCTTTGGTTGGCTGTAATGAATTGCAATAATTTATGAGTACAAGAGATCGGAGGGGAGAGATAGGTGAAGATGCGAGTTGGGTGCTTGGGTGAAGGCCCGGGCAGGAATCTAGCCTGGTTGCTTGAGGTGTAATGCTAACTGCTGCTGCCAGGCGTGACTTGGGGGTGGGGGTCGTTGGTCAGGAGGATGGTCTCCCTGACAGGCCTCAGGGAACAGGCAGTGCTGAGGGCTAAAGGAGAAAAATAGAGAGGAGAAAGGGAAGGAAGAAGGAGCAAAAGCAAGGCAGTTTTAGCTCGACTTGTGAGTGCAGCGTGCATCCGCAGTTCTCCTTTCCTGGCTGTCCTCCCTGTCTTTGGCACTGGTGTTTGAGTGTTGCTCCTTGGGGGACTGGGGAGCTTTGCCTATCAGCTGGCAAGGCCAGAGACTTCAACGCTGAGCTAGGTGCTCCCTGGCACTGTAGGTCCCAGAGAGTAGGTTCCGGGACATGAGTGTGTGTGTGTGTGTGTGTGTAGGGGTGGGGGACAGCTCCACTGAGGCCACTGTGCCCCACCCCTGGACTGCACCCCGGACCCGTTCCTTGGAACCAACAGTTTTCATCTGTTAATCAGAAGCAGACTCGTGCTGATGGGTATGCCTCGGCCGGGCGCCCCCTTTCTCGGAAATCCCCCAATCTGGAAACTATTAAAATCAGACTGCTTGAGATATAGCCCTTTAATATATCTCGGGCTGCCCATTCTGTTGAGGGTGCAGGGTGTCACCCGACAGACTTCGGGGAGCCTGCCCCAGCTTCCCTCCCAACCCTCAGAGCATCACCTTGCACGTTGACAGGGCACTTGTGGGGACAGCCCCTGTCAGTGGTGTGTGGACTTCCTATCCTCTCCTTCCAGAAAGGACTTCAGGCTGGGAGGCTGCAGGAAGATGTGCACAATCGGTCCCCCTTGATATTTGGGGAGGGGACAGCCCAGTCACAGCAAGCACGCAGCAGTGACTGCGGCATGCATGCCTGGGGACACTCAGGTCTTCCCTTCTGGCTTTTCAGAACCATTGTTTGCTTGGCCTGCTGTTTGTTCTTTGCTCACTTGCCCTATGGGCCTGGGGGATTCTGGACCCCTGACCACAGACCCTCCTCACCTCCTCTGGAGGCCGGGACGCTGCCCCCAACTCCCCATTCTCTCCCCCAGCCTTGTCCCTGGATCAGCCCTGTGTTTCCGGGCTTCCACTACATCCCTGCACCAAGGAGGCCCAGTCGCCTCTCCTCGGCAGGCGGCCTGCTTCCTGCAGCCGGCCTCAGCCAGCCTGACTGCGGGCAGGAAGGAGGTGCACGGGGTGCAGGGCCTGGGGCACGCTGGCTCAGAGAAGCCAGGAGCCGGGAAGGAGGTCCTCGGGGTGCAGGGCCTGGGGCACGCTTGCTCGGAGGAGCCAGGCGAGAGCGTGGGATCCCGAGCAGGCCCAAGTCCGCCGGCCGGGTCACCGGCTGCGTCCCAGCACAGCCTCCAAGCTGCCCTGCAGGTCAGGAACGGATTCGGTTTTTATTTTCCATCACTTACGGATGGAAACGGCAGTAACATCACCACTAGGACAGACACACATCTGGGAGAGAGAGATCTTGGAAGCTGGGGGTGGAAGTGGGGGGGGGGGGAGAGGAGCCAACAGATGCCCTCCTCCCCTTACCTTCCCCTCCCATCTCCCCTCTGTTCCTTTGTCAGAATCACAAAACCCTAAAGGTCGTTCCACTTGGGGAGGCAGCGGATAAGTACATTTCCGCAGCCCCGAAATGCCGCTTTTTATGACGCTGTTTGTCTCCCAGCTCCGGGTCCTGAATGGGGCCGAACAAAACATCAGCGCGGAGCTGGCTAGACGTCTGGGCTTAATTGTTTTATGGTTTAAAGAAGGTGGACACTCTCTCCTTTGAAATCGGATTATAGGAATGTTTTGTCTATGGTCCACGGAGAACAGGACCCCTCACTGGCTGGGAGGAGAGGGTGGGGAGAGCGCGCACGAGAGAGGGACGGGCTGCAAACCAGGGGTCCACACCGCTGGGAGCAGCCACTCCCACCCCAAAAGTCCGGTGGGCAGGCGGCAGCGGGATAGGCGGTACGGGGCCGGTGGCGGAGGCGGCGGCAGCGTCAGGGTAAGAGGAGCGAGAGCAGGCTAGGGAGCGGACGCCGGTGGTCGTGGGAGCGCCGCCCGCGCCCGTGCCGCGCTGGGGTGGGGTGGGGCGGTGTTCCTGACAATGAAACGCACCTGTTTGCGAGGGGGAGGGGTGCGTGTGACAAGGAGGGAGGCGCGGGAGATTGCGGCAAGTCCTTTCTGCACTGTGCGTTTATATGCAAGAGCTGGGGATAGAGTAAGTGCAAACATAGAGAGAAAACAGCGTGGGACTTTCACAAGATTTATTTCGAGAACCTGGGAAGCCAGGGAACAGCGGTCTCTCGTGGGGGGGCGGGGAGTGGGGCAGCTCCCTGGTGATGCATCCCGCGTCTTTGCACCGACCCACAGGCTGCGGCGTCCTGCCTTCTCACCTTTGGGCCAGGCCTGGGGACCTCTGCTGGTTTTGTGCGTGTTTTTATTTTCCCCCCTTTCCCGGGCCGAACTGCATGGGGGCGAGTGGACGCGAGGTGGCGCTGTTGCTCAATGTTAGAGGCGGCGGCGGTCCCAGGGCCGGCCAGGCCCCGCTGACATTCGAGGCCGGGACGACCACGACCAGGCCCCGCGCGCGCCTCCGCCCGGCCCCGGCCCCGGCCCCAGCCTCGGTCCCAGCCCCGGCCCCGGCCCGGCGGCGCTGAGCAAATCAATCGTCTCACCTGCGAGATGTAAATAATTCTCGAGTGGCAAGTGGGTGGATGGGCTCTCGCTCTGCTGGAGGGCAAGCGTGGAAAGTCACCCGCTTTGCCGAGGAGATAAGTGCGGCGCGTATTGAACACACAAAAAGGCGGGATGACCCGGACAATCGAGCATAAATCCGCGGTACCTAGGCGGCCGACACAGGCCCTGGCGAGGATGTCTGCTTAGGGTGCCTTGAATTCCAGGCTCGGGGAGCAAAATCAGAGACGTGTAAAAAGACAGAAAACAAAACGAGAGAGAGGCGAGGAGATACTGTCCCCTCCCCCTTACTTGGAGGGGAAACCAAGGAGGGCCAGGGTCTGCGGGGTCTTCCTTGGCAGGCAGGCTGGCAGGCGGGCGGTGGCGGCGATGGCCCGCACACTCCGGACAGTCACATTCCAAGACACAAAGACCCGGAAGAATCCGCTCTGCGGCCGGGTTTTCGGGTTTTCGTTGGACCATAAAATGTCCAGATAGTCACCCTCCCACCACCCTCCCGCCCCCCAAAAAAAAGATAGGCACAAGCCCAGAGCGACTCTAGCCCTCTGGCCCTCTTCTTGCCAGGTGGAGAGGAGAAAGTATTTGTGACAATCCCCGCGGCGACCCAGATGCTGGGAGTAGGCAGTCCACCCTACAGGGACTGGCAGGGGGTGGGGAGGGGGGAGGCAGGACTGGAGGCACCGAGGGGATAACACGCACTGGGGAGAGAGTGCCACCCCCATCACCCGCCCTAGAAAGCCTGCAACCTTGACATTGCATGGGCTTTCCCCCTCCCCACTGCCTAAGAACCCAAAGTCCTGGGAGCAGCCGCCAATTCTCCCTGCAGGTGGTTCTGACCCCCCCACCCCCCATACACACACCTCACACACACACCTCCTCAAGCCAGTGGAGCCTCGAAGGGGTCTTGGTGCAGCACCAGTGGTGGGGGGATCGCCCTTGGGAATGTGGCCTGGAATGGTCATCTCCCCGCCCAGTAATGGCTTAGATAACAGAGGGACACAGGGTGTGCAGGGCAGGGACTGGGCCCTAGCTGGCCACTGCCCCCAGTCCCAGAGCTGGGCTCCAGCCAGGGCAGAGAAAAGATTTGGCTTTCTAACCACCTCCTCCTTCCTCCACTCCTGAAGCCCCAGAAGGTGGAAGGAATGCAGGGAGGGGAGATTTTGTCCTGATGCTAAGACCTAAGGAGGCATCTGTGGTGTTGGTCAGGCGGGGTAGTTGTGTGCATGCGTGCCTGTGTGTATATACGGGTGTGTGTGTGTGTGCACAGTATCTGCCCTTGAAGGCATGCATGTGCCGGTTTGCAGTTGAGTGTGCACTTGGTGTATCTCGGGGTGAGGACTACAGTGTGTACAGTGTGTGTGTGTGTGTGTGTGTGTGTGTGTTTGTGCCCTGTTTGTGGGCACAGCCCAGTCTGCTGAGAGAGAGGACAGGAAAAAATCTTCCTATTCATCTTCATTTATATGCATACAGCGCACATGTGCCCTACAGCCTGCTTGCTCCTGTGCTGCCTTTCGCTCCCCATGCCGGGCACGCTGAGAAGCCGAGGGTCTTTCATCTTTCGCCAGGACGCCAGTGTGCCCAGTGTGCCCAGTGTTTGGGGCTGCAGGGAGCCCTCCCTCCCGCCCACCTACCCCAGAAAGTGTGGGTCAATATTTAAAGAGTGTCTGTTGGCAGTGCCCATCCACATCCTGGCCTGGGCAACCTGCCTGGGGAAGGAGGGGCAGGCTCGGGGGTGGGGATGGGCGGCTGCCCCCCCCTTCAGGCTGAGCTGGCTATGCTTGTGGGATGGCAGGATTTGAGGGGCAAGTTAGAGGTCTGCTCCAGTTCCCCGCAACCCAGACAGAAAGGCTCTCCTACGAGGCCACCTCTGCATCCCAGCCAGGCAAAAGCCGAGGACACACACACAGCTGCCCAGCCCTTCTTACCCTCACAGGCAGCTTCGTTGGCATACCTCATCACCACCACCAAGTTGGCAGCCTTTGCCTGGGTCTCCTGCTCCAGGAGGGGGCTGGTGTCTGAAGGGACAGGGTGTGTGGGATGGTGGGACGTCCGTGCTTTGGCCTCTGGGCCTCCTCTGTACCCCCAGGGTGAGCAGGCAGGCGGCAGCAAATTTAGCATCTAAATGGGACAGGGCCCTGGGGAGGGGTGAGGACACAGGCACTTGGAGGATGAGGGATGTGGTCAGTTTGCTTCTGTTCCCCAACACCACCCCCCCCAGTCACCAGACTTAACTCATCCCTCTTGGGAACTCGCCTTTTGGGTCAGGAGCCTTGCTCTGGCTTGCCCCGGGGTAACCTCTTTCTAGGGTCCTGTACCTGTTGAGGTAACCTGATTTGACCTGCTGGCTCAGGTGTGTCTGGAGAGAGAGAGAGAGGGAGAGAGAGAGAGAGAGAGAGAGAGAGAGAGAGAGAGAGGGAGAGGCAGGCTGGGGGAGAGGCACCTTCCAATCTGAATGCATACCTTGGAAAAGCTGGCCCGGCCATTAGCCAGGGCTGGCTCGCCAACCCCCCACACACGCACACCACACCCCCATCCCTCCCCCTCTCCTCCCTCCCCTTCCTCCAGGTCCCCCCAACTCTGAACCCCTCAACCCCCGCCATCTCTCTCCCTCTCTGTCTCTCTTCTCTCTCTCTCTCTCTCTCTCTCTCTCTCTCTCTCTCTCTCTCTCCTCTCGCCTGTCTTCATGTCGTGGATTGATGAACGCGAATCGCGTGTAAGCGCCGCCACCGCCGGGAGTCTGAGGAATTCGCCTGGGCTGTTAAAGGAAAGAGCTAAGTGAGCCAGCGCGAGCTCTACCTACCCACAGTGAAGACAGCCGCCGCCGCCGCCGCGCCGCCCGCCCGCCCCAGCCCGCAGCTCCGCCGCGCCGCCGGCCGCGCTCGCTCGCTCGCCCCGAGCCGCCCCCACCTGCCCAGCCTCCCCACCCCACCCCCAAAGCCCAGCAGCCCAGTCCCGGGGAGCCGGCCGGCCCGGGGGTTCGGTCCCGGGGGGAGGGGAGTTTCGGGGGTACTACCGGGGCGGGGGAAGAGAGAGTCGCGGCGAGCCAGAGGGGAGGGGTGCGCGGGGTTTTCATGCACCCAGCATGAGTTCCTACTTCGTCAACCCCCTGTTCTCCAAATACAAAGGCGGCGAGACCCTGGAACCGGCCTATTACGACTGCCGGTTCCCGCAGAGCGTGGGCCGGAGCCATGCGCTGGTGTACGGGCCCGGCGGCTCGGCGCCCGGCTTCCAGCACGCCTCGCACCACGTCCAGGAATTCTTCCACCACGGCACCTCCGGCATCTCCAACTCGGGCTACCAGCAGAACCCGTGCTCGCTCAGCTGCCACGGAGACGCCTCCAAATTCTATGGCTACGAAGCGCTCCCCAGACAGTCCCTTTATGGGGCTCAGCAAGAGGCGAGCGTGGTGCAATATCCCGACTGTAAATCCTCCGCCAACACTAACAGTAGCGAAGGACAAGGCCACTTAAATCAAAACTCGTCTCCCAGCCTCATGTTTCCATGGATGAGACCCCACGGTGAGAAGAAGCCTTTTCTCTTTCCCCCTCGCTCTCCCGCGCGCTCCGGGGTCTCCCCACCCCCTTCCTGCCTCCCTCGCCTCCTTTTTGTCTGCCTTCCCAATTTCCCTCCTGGCTTTGGGGGGCTCGCTGCCGCCCCACCCCCGGGGGTGCCTGGGTGGGTTGCTGGAGGCTGGGGAGGCTAGGCTGGGGGTGGGACAGGGGGCGCCTGGGATGTTTTGGGGGGTTGGGTGAGGGTGAGGAGAGGTGGAACGGCATCCGTGGGAGCAGAGGGTTCAAGCTGGCTGCTTCCCTGTCCGCCTGGCGTTCCCAATCCGAGGCCAGCCGAAGTCAAAGTTGGGGAGGGGATTAGGAAGAGCACCCTATGCATAGCAGCCGTGAGAGCTGCTAACTAGTGTCTGGGGTCCAGGACAGTGGCCAGCCAGGCTGTCTTGGAGTGAAGGGGAGACCCCTGTTCCTCTCCTCTAGCCAGAGAGTGTTGCAAACCCCCCCCCAACAAGGACAGGCACTGGCTTCACAGGCTACCCACTGCCCCCTCCCAGAGCACCAGAACATCATCATTGTGCCCCCCAACTTTTCTGTACTTCCCCCTAGACGGTGGAGGAAAAGAGAGGCATGAAGCCCTAGATGGAGGGAAACCGCTGCCAAGGAGAGGGGCCAACAGATTGGGGGATCCCTTAGGTCCTCAGGGGCCCTGGCCAGGCTGTCCCCATCTCCATGGAGCCCTGCTGAGTCCTGCTGCGACCTGCTGAGCAGCTCAGGTCACGAGCCCCTCCAAGGGTGGCCCCTCAAGGCCCAATTTCGAAGTACAGGGGGAAGCGACAAAGCATCGGGACAAGTTCCGGCAGGGATAGCTGGTGATTTATTTGCTGGTCTCCAGTTAGCAATCAGGCGGAGCGGTGAGACATGCCAGCAGATCAATGATTTGGCTGATTGGGAAAACGGCCAGCAGAGAGAGACAAGCAGGGGCCAGTGGTCAGAGCCCCTCTCCCTTTGCCCCCAGCCCCTTTTCCTTTCCTTTACAAACACACTGGCAGCACTGTGCACTTGTAAACAAAGCTGCACTGAGCCTGCGTCCTGGGATTGCAAGGCCTGGGGGCATAGGGCTGGGGTTGAGGAGTGGGCTCTGCAGGGGCTCCTTGGGTCGCTGCAAGTCCCCAGTTTCCAAAGAGACCCCAATTCCTGCCCCAACCCCCCACCTCCCGAGGTGAAACCAAACCAAAACAATCCCCCCCCCAAACTTTCTGGTCTTCTGCTCAGCCCCTTCTACAACTAAGGAGGGGGAAAACTGGGGAGTGGGAGGGGGCTCAGCCAGCCAGGGTCGAGGGGGGGGGCCCTCTTGGCATGGAGGGAGGAAGAGTGGCAGGGACAAGCAGGACAACCCACCCACCCAAACATAACCAAACTGGGGTTCTGTTCTGTCCAGCTCCGGGGCGGCGCAGCGGAAGGCAGACTTACAGCCGATATCAGACCTTGGAACTAGAAAAGGAATTTCTCTTTAATCCTTATTTGACACGGAAGCGCCGGATCGAAGTCTCTCATGCCCTGGGACTGACAGAGAGACAAGTGAAAATCTGGTTCCAGAACCGAAGGATGAAGTGGAAAAAGGAGAACAACAAAGATAAGCTGCCTGGAGCCCGAGATGAGGAGAAGGTGGAAGAAGAAGGAAACGAGGAAGAGGAGAAAGAAGAGGAGGAAAAGGAAGAGAACAAGGACTGAGCAAGAGAGAGAGACGACCCCCCCACACCCCCCTTAGCAACTCCCTTGAAGTTTCGATTTATGGTAGCAGATAAATTGAGAAGTTTACGACTGTCATTTGCTTTTATAGAGAATAGAATGACACTCACAACTCTAACTACCTGTCAGATACTAGCAGCTCTGGTTTTATTACCTTTGGACTCCCCCCCCAACCACCACCAACCCTGCTCTTTATGTGTCTGGGGCTACAGTGGGGGGAAGACCCAGACACAGCAGGGTGGGGGAAAAAAAGTTGGGACTCTCTCGGGTCCACTCCTAGCCCTGGAAGACACACTTGCCCCCCTCTCCCCCACCCCGTCCCCCAAACCCTTTTGGGTCCTTCCTGGATTTCCTCCCTCTTGGCCTTCTCTCTCTGCCCCCTGGTGCCACACTGCCCGCCTCCCTCCACCACCCCCAATTCAGTTTACTAGGGAGCCCCCTTCCAAGAAGAAGATGAGGACTCGTGGCTTTGTTTCAATGCCAGGACGTAGTGGAGTGGGTTGACTTGCTTTAAAAAAAAAAAAAGAAAGAAAGAAAGAAAGAAAAGAAAAATGGGAGGGGGGAAATAGATGAGGAAAGAAATGGAAAACAGCTTTTTGAGAAATAAGGAAAGGATAGCAAAGAATACTCCCTTCCTCCCGGGGCTCCCTGTTTAGAAAAAAAGAAAAAAAAAAGAAAAGAAAAAGAAAAAAAAAAAACAAACAAAACCCCTTGACTTTCTCTAGGCACCTAATGGAATCCTGTGAAGGAGATGTAAGTCTCACCTCACTGCCCCCATTGCGTGGGGGTACCCAGGAGCCTGCAAGAGTCTACCTAGCTCATCCCATGATCACTTGGGCCCATGCCTCAGTCCTCGCCTGCCTTTGCTCTTTCATTTCTGTTCTGCTGGGCCCGACTCTCTCTGAGCTGCATCACTTGAAGCGCTCAGAAATCGCCACAATCATGAAAATGAATACTAATACTCATAATAATACTGATAATAAATCTTTAACATACTACCTAAAGGGAACCTGCAATAATCTTGAAAAAAAAAAAAAAGCAAAAAACCCTTACTCTAAGAGGAGGAAAAAAAAAAAAGAAAAAACAAAAATAAAAAAAAAAAAGAGGAAGAAACCTCCAATGTATTTTATCACTACCTATAGAAAGAAATCCTGCTTTGAGAGTATTCGTACCGCGGTTTTGTTGTCGTTCGTTGCTGCTGCTTCACTAAGGGATCCCAACAACTGAGACTGCCTAGCCCGCCGGTCCCGTGCGCTTTCATTGTGCTTCTAACCCCAGTAGAGTAGAACTAAATTGCACTGAGTGTATAGTTAACTTTGTCTTGAATCCTCTGTTTATGCAACGTGCTCGAAAGGAAAAAAAATGTTAAAATATATCTATAATAATAATTTTGGTCATTTGTCTTTATGTCCAGCTATGAATGTAGATTTTGTGTCCTGACAGCCCTGTCCCTGGTCTAAGTACTTTGTATTGTATACGTGAGTCATAATAAAAAAAAAGGAGCAAAAAATAGTGGAAGATGACATTGACTGGCTTTTTTTCTGCAACTCTGTCACAACTTCTACCCCCTCTCTCCTCCCGCGCCCCCCCATTTTGCCTGCCAAAAGATCTTGCTCCCCAGATCTGACGGGATGGGGTGGGATGGAGAGCAGCAGCCTGAAGTGGTAGGGGCAAGGCTGGCCTGGGAGGGCAGGTGAAAGAGGCTGTGGGGGCAGAGGGAAGCTGAGTGGAGGAAGAGGAACCACCCACTAGCAGGGGGAGTCCTGACTCCAAACCCAGTGGGTCCCTAAATGTTAGGATCCCAATGGGCAGAGGATCTCCTTCCCTGGATCATCCTCTTCCTCCTCAGCTCTGTCTGGGCCCAGACAAAGAATCTGCCCTATTCCCCCTCTCCTGGAGCATGCCTTCTTCCAGGATTGGGGCTGTGGGTGAGGACATGGACTTCCCTATAGAACAGGCCCCTGCTGGTGGCTCACCCTTGGCACCCAGCACCCAGGGTGAGAGCAATGCCTAAGATGTATGGAGTTCATGTGAGGCTCCAGGCTGCTGTCTGGAGGGCTTGGTTAGGAGATGCCTACTGGTGGGGAATGCTGTGTGTGTGTGTGTGTGTGTGTGTGTGTTGGGGGTGTTGAGGAAGCTTGGGTCTGGGGGAGAGGCGAGGCCAAGGGAAGGATGAGTGAGCTGGAAGACCAGCTAGCCTGCAGTCCAGAGCCTGAAATTCAAATCCAGTTGGTTGGGGGCTGGGTCAGCAGCACTGTCTGCCAAGTCCCCTTGTGTCCCCTCTTTCCTGGCTGTTTGCAGCCCACTCCAAGCTTTACCTTGGCAAATGGGCAGCCCACTTGCTCCCACAGAGCAGGCCGTAAGCCTAGGGGATGGGAAGCTGGGCCGGCTGAATGGACAGCACCCCCCACACTTAGGAAACAGAAGGGTAAGGGGAGTCTTCATTCCAATTTTCATTCCCCGAAATATAGTTGAGGGTTCTTGGATTATGGGGTAAAGGGGTTTCGCTTTTCTCACTCCTTGACAGAGCTATCTGTTTATGCCAATAAGATGCTGATCCAATCATCCCAAATTCCAGAGATATAAATCCTCTGACTCAGCCAGGAGAGGGGGAGTGGGGGAAGGGATCTTCTGGTCTTTAAAAACCAGACCCCCAAAGACTGAAATATTTTTGAAGCCAGATCTCTGTGTCTCCCTCTCTATCCTGGTCAATGATTTTCCCAGACCTAAGCCCAGGCCAACAACTCTTGTTTTGTGTTATTTCTTGGGGGATCCAGAACCCGGGCTCTGGCTGCCGCGGGGTCCTGAGCACAGCACAGGGTCAGTTGGCGTTCATAAGGGGGCTGTGCAGCCCCAGGGAAGCCGCGGGTTAGACGCAGAGACCGTGGGCCGCCGCCGCCGAGGACAGCCCTGAGCAAGCGCCCCCCAGGACAAAATGTCCCTGAAACGAAAAACTGGGGTACCTGCTGGGAGCAGAGGCTGCAGCCAGGTAACCCTAGTCTGCTGTCGGAGACCCCCGCAGGGAGAACGCTTGGATCCCACGCCCGCCGGGTGTCCCCCTCCTTGCGCCGCGCCGAGGGATGGCCTAGGGCCGTTTCGTTTTTGAACGTGATATTATGGTGTCTATTCATAAAAATATCTGGCCCTGCTGCCGAGTAGTGGTGGGGCGAACCCTGCAGTAAGAGGTTGGGAGAGGCCTCGCCGCTTTCTCCCCTCACCCTGGACACCAAATGCCCCATCTATCCCCTGCCCTGCTCAGCCGTGCCCGTGGCCCCACAGCCTCGGCGCGTCGGAGGGCGGGGTGCGTCTGGCGCCCGGCTTGGCTGGGGATGTCCGGCACCCGGCGGGCGGGAAGCAGCGAACCCCGGCCGCCCCTTCACGCAGCGCCCGCTCCCCCAGCCCCCCTGCCCACGGCCTCCGCTTTCTCGTTAGTAAAGAAAAGGAGGTAAAAAACCCGTTTTATGGGGGGAACGTAATTGCAAGCGGGATGCGCTCTCTTTAGAAGCGCGTCCTCCCCAAAGCTCCCGCCGCCGTCCCATTACCGGAATGGGGACCATTGGGCTGCAACAGATACGAGTCTCTCCCATTCTCTGCTTTTTTATTAGCCAATCAAAGTGGCTTCCGAAAGCTATTTGCGATTTGTGAAAAATAGTATCTTTCAAAATGCTGAGTCGAAGCATCTCGCTCATTTCACTTTGAATTTATTATTCTAATCTCAACAGCAGAGACAAGATAATGTGGTTGTTAACTTGGGGGGCAAATTCGTTCCTTCGAATTTTTTTTATTATTTTTATTATTTGCATTTCCTCGCCCTTCCACAATCCCTTACGGTGGAGTCCAGAACAACTATGGCCCTGCATGAGAATATGGGCAAAGGCTCCTGGGGGGGGGAGCCTTTCAGGAGTGGCTAACTACCCCCTCCCTCATCTTCCCTAAATGAGATGCCCCCCCCCCCAAGGGCTGCCTGTCCGGCTGGGAAAGTCCACCCTCCTCTCAATGCTCCCATCCCCTGTCCCAATTAGAAAACTGCGGACAGGTTGTGCCACAGTCTATAAGTAAAATTTCCGGTGAGCTGCTTGCAGTGCTGCCCCATTCTCCCCGCTACCCATTGTGAAGAGCTGGGCCAGCGCTTCCTCATCGTAATTTTTAACTACCTGTTATAAAATTTATGGGTGGGTCTGTAAAAGAAACGAGGTCCCTGCATCTGGCTGAGGAAAACTTTGCTTTGCCTGCTGAGGTGGAGGAAGTTTGGGGAGGGAGAGGTGAGCAAGCCGACGCAGCAGCTGTCTGCTATGGTGGTGCCGCCGCAGCAGCCGGGCAAACGAGTCTCCCTTGTGCCAGTTCCAGGTGGGAACAGGGGCAGAGCCACCAGCCCTCAGAGAGCTCAGAGAGGCTCTCCTAAAGCTACCCCCCTCCCCCGTCTGTTGCGAGGATTTATTCTGAGTGCCACTGCACTGTCCAAATTAGGGATCTGTAGAAACAGGTTCTCTAAACTGTCCGGCAGAAGGGGGCGGTTTGGGCAGTAATAAATGGTTCTTTCAAAACCACATATTATTATTGTTATTATTTATCTCCAGATGTCCAGATATTGAGCCAGAGCTATTTTTCTGGAGAAGGGCAGGTGGGCGTGGGTCACCTGGCAAGATGGGAAAGGCTGTACCCAGCTTGCACCCCAACTCAGATTACCCATCTATGCATTACTTTTTTATTTCTGAATGAATTACAAGATGCCATGGGAACATAAACTTGGTGCTAGGCATGGTTGGAGGAGAGAGAGAGAGAAAGAGAGAAAGAGACAGAGAGAGAGAGTCATTGTCCCTAAGTAAGAGATCTGAGGTTGAGGTTCACTCTCAGGGCCCTGGAGGCTGTCCCAAATTCTCAAGCCTCCCGCCCCTGCACGACAGCCCCGGGCAGTCCAGTCTCAGTGCCTTAGACTTACGGCCAGGTTGGCTTCATTGGGAGGTGACCAGCGGCCGGCCTGTTACTGGGTTCCTAGCCTAGAGTGCAGTGGGGGGGGGGGGGTTCACAGTCACACCAGTAGCAGCAGGAATGTTGCTTTTTCTTTGGAGAAGAAAAAAAAAACTATGGGGGTAGGGAGGGCACCCCTTCATCCACCAGCCGACCCTGGCCCAAGGCCACAAATCTTGGCGAAGCCCCCAAGATCCAAGTCCATTTACTAAGGAGAGTATTTAAAATTCGGCACAGCAAGCAGAGGCAGCCCACCCCTCAGCTCTCCAGACTGTCCTGCTTTCCTGTCTGCGCGTGCCCCTCTGGGTTCAGGCTTCTCTCTCTCTCTCTCTCTCACTCACTCTCACTCTCTCACTCTCTCACTCTCCTCCACGCTGCCCTGGAGCAGCCAGCCCCGTGGGGAGCAGAGCAGCGGGTGGGGGTTGGGTGGGGGTCCTGGGGGGGCAATGCTCCCTCTCCGAGAGAATTGGGTAAACATGGCGACCGCGGCGCCCATTTGCACACGCTACACAAATGCATCGCATTCCCGGTTGTTTGCAGAAAATTTACAGCTGAGTAATAAAAGTTTACGATCGACTCACAAGTTGGATTGGCCACAAGAAGTCATGTGGATTCCATCCATGAACGTGAACTTTTTATTGTGGTTTGTCCGTTCGGAGCGCTCCGCAGAACAGTCCTCCCTGGAAGAGCCTAACCATTGCCAGGGAAACCGGCGCGGGGCGCTCCCTTCGTGACTAGTATTTTTTTTTAATTATTATTAATCTGATAAATAATTATTTCCCTCCCCCCTATTTAATTTTTCCCCTCCCAGGTGGAGTTGCTGAAGGAAGCTGGGGGCACCTGGGGAGGCTGGGGTGGGGAGTGGAGAAGCAGGAGTGGAGGGGGCGTCTCTCCCTTCCCGACCCTCGGGCCCCCAAGGGGCAGCAGGAATGCGGGAGCGGCAGAGAGGCCTCGCCCCTCGCCTCCCGCGCTCTCCCTTCTGCCCCCCTCCGCAACAACTCTCTTGGATTTTTTTTTTTGATGAGTAGGACTTTTTTTATTTTTAATTTTTGCATTTCTATAAAGTATATGTATATGTGTGTGTGGAGCTGACACGAGCCCGGCAGCGGCAAAGAATGAGTGTGGGAAAGAGAGGCAGAGAGAGAGAGAGGGAGAGAGGGAGAGTGACAGCAGCGCCCGGTAAGTGTTTCCTTATTGGTTCAACTATGTAACTAATGGTCCGTAGCTGGGTGGCGGTTGCGAGATAAGGACAGCAGCGGCTTGCCTGGTTAGAGAGGAGAGGGGGCTGGCGAGGGAGTGGGCGCGTGGGTAATTATGGGGAGGAAGAATGGTGTGGGGGGGAGGGTTCAACGAGAACCTTGGTAATGGGGTGAGTGTGCTGTCCTGCAGACGCAGGGTGCTGACATGGGGATGGGGGGTCGCGGGGCAGGGCGGCTGAGCTGGCGCTCTGCTGGATGCCCACCGCGGCGATGGTACCTGTTTATTATTATGGAGCTGCGGCCTTAGGCCAAGGGCACTGCGACGCAGTGGTGACTGGAGGCTCCAACTCCAGGGCCACAGGGGGAACCTGTAAGCTGTGCTCGTGACCCCCCTCCCCGAGCAACGTCAGCTCGCAAGCCACCCCCACCCCAGCGCCGCAACTCCACACACCCCCCCCAACAAACTTTCGGGCGCCCCTCCCTGCCCCGCAGCCCCCTCCCGGCGAGCGCGGCTGGCAGAGCTCACACATGCGCAGTGCGCGCCCAGGGCCGAGCCTCCGGAGCAGGAAGCGGGCGCAGCGAGGCGGGCGGCGGGGCCTGTTAATTGGCAATTAAGGGGGAGGCTGGTGGCTGGTGCGCGTCAGCCGCGGGAGAGCGTCTGCCCACCCCCTGCTCCCGCCCCCGCTCGGGCGGACGGAAGGGTGGGAGGTGCCCTGCGCGGCGGGTGGGGGTGGGGGTGCGGGCTGCAGCCCTCCTAAAGCCATGTTGTGTACGCGCAGAAAAGAGGCCTGTTTGCGCCCCTCTTCCTGCCTGGGATCGGTGTCCGCCACCCCCACCACGGCCACCCCGCCTGGGGTGACCCCTGGACGGCGTCACGCGCCGCGCTGGGCCGCTCTAGGCTAGGACCTGCCCGGCCTAGAGCGGAGGTGGGGATGGGGGGCAGCTCCCCAACCAGGCCGAGATGGGGGGTGGGGAAGGTGGATAAGCCGAGGTCTCTCACCCTCAGGGTCTCGTGGGTGAGGGGCGAGGCCCTGAGCACTATAGGGGGTGACTGGCTCTTGGGTGCAGGCGTCAGAATAAGGTGCCCGGGAGGGCCCAAGGCGTCCGGAATCTTCCTCCGTAATTGGTGCTAATGGCGTGTTGTATAGCTTTAACCCGACACATATGGCTTCATAACACAGTGGCTTAATTTCTTCCAAATGTACGTGGCCCCGAGTGTGTTGCAGTTTGATGTACGATCGCGCCCTGCTCCGGGGCCTGGGTCCGTCCGAGGCGGCACCTACCCGTGCGAAAGTGGGAGTCGCTGTTTGCAGAGGGCGCCGCACACGCAAATGCCTTGCACACCCAAGCTGACACTCCCAGAGCGGGGAGGGGGAGGTCTGACTATGGGGGGTTAGCCTCACCTTCCGTGGGAACCAGGACACCCCCTCCCCAGGCGATGGGGATTCCGCTCAGAGCCCAGTGGGAGAGGGGAACGCTCCTGGATTTCCTGTTTAAACCCTGACCCAGTGTCTGACGTGGGGGTGGCGGGCAGGAGGGGGCCAGAAAATCTATTTTGACCAATTTCTGAAAAACATAGTTCGACTGCACTTGGAATGAAACCCCCGTGGGTCGGAGTTAACGGTGAATCTTTCTCCCCTCCCCCCACGACCCCCTTTCGATCCCTTACTGCCCCCCCAAAATCCCCCGCTTTCTCAGCTGACATAAAGGCCTCGGAGGTATTCTCCCAGGGGAAGAAATGACATTTTCTCTTCCCCTTCTCTACCCGCCCCCCCATAGAGACCGTATAGGCATAAGCGTCTGCCGAGGGGCTAATTTCGCGTTCCTTGTTTACGATCGAGAAAAGCGCTCGGCTCTCCCCAAATGGGCCCAGCCCGCTGCCTGCGCCGGCTGCTGCGCGCCTTCCCTGCCGCTCGGGCGCGCGGCCCGGAGGGGAAACCGGGCCTTGGCCGGCGGGGACCTGAGGTGGGCGAGTGGCCTACGGTGGGACGCTGGAGGCCCGCCCCCAGGCCCGAAAAGGGGAGCCTTTCTCCATGAATAAAGTGGGAGCCGCAGACCGGTGAGGCCTCTATTTCTCTTTCGCCTGTATTTGGTCCTTTTCCCATCCTTGCAGATGGATGTTAAAGGGGCACGAGGGATGGATGGGTGTGTGTGTGTGTGTACAAGTCCCCTTTGTTCCTCCCCGGAAAGAAAACCATTGCCAGAGAAGGCTATTCAGGCCGGTGGGGCAGTCACCTGGGACGTTAAAGGGGAGGGGGTGGCTCGGGTATCTCCCTGGGACCACAGGGCATGCCATTGTGTTTTAACGGTGGGATATTCCGGGTGCTAGTGTGCTAGGGTTCCAGGTGGGTGAAGTCACAGTTGTGTCCTGAGGACCCTTCATGGAATATTTTTCTTGCTTTTCTGCTCCTTCCTAGCTGGGGTGCTGTAGGCCCCCCACTTTGCCCAATGGCCTTCACCCCTAAAGCTAGCTGCATCCTGCTTAGCCAGAGAGGGATGCCGACAAAACCCAGTGCTAGTGATCCACTGGCCTTGGTTTTTCCGGTTTTCCAGCTTGGCCAGAAGATAGGCGGATCTCCAAGACCAGCCCTCCCTTTCCAGTTACTTTCACTTTTCTTTTCCTCCTCTTTTTCTCTCTGCCTCTCTCTGTGGTGCTCAAACCGAAAGCACTATGGGGTGGGGGGGCACTGGCGGGACCCCTCTGCCTGCAGGCAGGCCTGATTCCCTGTAGACAAGGTCCCCATGGCTGCCAGGACAGCTCTTGTGTGATTAGCTAATAATAGCCAGGGTAGCTGAGAATAGAATCTGGCTCAAGGACGCTGCACACCCAAGGCTGAGGCTGCTCAGGCACTGGCTTTCTGGCTGCCGCCCTGGCAGCACTCCCTGGAGCCTCCTCCTCCTCCAAGCTCACCCTGACCACCCTCTGGCCTGTCCCTGCCCTGAGAGGGCTCTGTCCCTGTATGGTTTGTCCTGGTTCTCAGCTGGAAGAGGAGAAATGCAGTGTAGATTCTGTCTGCCCCCTCACTCCCCAGTTGTGATCCCCACAATCCCCACGGAGATTGGAGATTGCGACCTTGTTCACAGGAGGCGACCTTGTTGGGTTTGCTGCAGAGTTAGGAAGTTAGGCCCTGGAAGCTTTTATGCATTTATCATCAACAGGCTCAAATATACAGCCTCAGGCCCGCGCGTGAATATATGCGGACTCAGGTTTCCTGGGTGGCTAATTGTGTATTAACCATGCCTGTACTCGCTCCAACACCATGTTATGTGCATGCGAAATCTTGTTAGCCCTTGCTAGAGGAGGGTGACCTCGCCCAGGCTCAGGGTGCAGCCCTGCTGGGGTGAGAGAACTGTGTGCCTGCGCTCAGGAATCGGAGTAACCGGGTTCCGGGAACCAACGGTGCCACAATGGTTCTCTCAGGCCTCACTGCTCTCACTGAGGGAGGGAAATAGTACATCCCTCCTGTGTTCTCTTTAAATTTCCTCTGCCCATGCCCCCTCCACCCCCATATGCAGACTGCTTTACAAGGAGATTCTAGTTGTCTTGAAAGTGAATTCTGGAGGGCCTTATTGTGAGTGGCGATGCTGCGTGGTGTTGTCAGGAGACGCCCTGCTGGTGTGCTGCTGAAGGGATGTGGTGGTCCAAAAGGTGTCCCCAGGAAGCGGTCTGGGGGGTCTGCTAGCCAGGGTGCTTGGAAAGAGACTGGTGGAGAAGAGAGTCGGCCAGGTAGGGATGCAATGGACATTTGTTCCTAACTTCGCTCGCCCTGGCCGCTGCGCCAGGACCCATCCTAGGTGACTTGCTTGCGTTTGTGGGAACAGATTAGCTCTCTGAGGTCCCCTCAGGTCCAGATCGTGTGGCTGGGGACTGGGTTAAATGCCTTGTGCAGCCGGCCGGTATGCCTGGAGAATCCAGCGCAGCCTGGGCCCTGCTGTGAGCTGGAGTCTTCCGGCCTCTCCTCGGCCTTTCTCCCATCCCAGGCTACCAAAAGACAGAGCCAAAGGGAAATATAAAGATCGTAAAACACACACACACACACTCTCTCTCTCTCTCACACACACACACACACACACACACACACACACTCCTAAAAGGACAGGAGCAGGGCCGGGGCGGGGGGGCCTTCCCGCCTCCGCTGCTGCTGCTGCTTCTGCTGCTGCTGCAGCTACTGGCCGATCAGGTTCCTCGGAAGACTCGTGTCCAGACACGCCGCCCGCCGCGGGGCCGGAGCGCGCAGCCGGCCCTGCGCCGTCACCAGGGGCGGCCTCAGGCTTCGGGGCCTCGGCCACCTGGGGCGAAGGGGTGACATTCCCCCCCACAGGCCCACGGCCTCTGCCACGGCGGCGCCGCAGCTGCCCCTGTTTATTGTGTCTGTGTGTTGTTTACTTGTTTTGTCTGCTGCCACCCTGCGTCAGAAACCCGCCAAACCAGCAAACTCGCCCGGGAGAACAAAGTGCGGCGCTCTCCCCAACTCCCTCCCCTCCCCAGTACCCCCTCCCGCGCCGTCTCCTCGCCGCCTGCTTCTCGCTCGGGGAAGGGAGGAAACAGAAATGATCCTAAAACCCGGCAGCTGTTTATAGGGTCGGGGGAATTATGGGGACACCATAAACCTCCAGGTGTCCCGGCGGGTATTGCTGGTGGGAGAAACTTGCCTTCGATTTTGCTTTCTTCTTCCTCCCCTTAGTAGCGGCTTGGTTAAGAAGGGGGGTCACAGTCATTGAGAAAGCCGAGCCCCCCTCCTGTTTGTAGGAGTTTCCCCCAGACACAGATTGTTGGGTTTTAAATCAGGTTAGTGTTGGTGGATTCATAAAGCTTCATAGAAAGCTGTATAAAGCGAATCGCTGTGCCCCCCCTTCCTCTGCCTCAGCCCCTCCCAAAATAGCAGTGAATTTAAGCAAATCCCACAAAATTAAATTGCCCCGTTCGCTAAAGATCCTATAAATCTCCAACTCTGCTAGGTGCAGAGTCGGTGAGGCCGC